ATCCAATTTTTTATATTGCGTAACTAAATATTACATGTCTATTACTCACAATCTACTGATCTGATTTGGATAATTTTTAGCTTGTTAAAATTGTTGTACTGAGAAGAATCGGAATTTAATATCTGTTTATAATAACTAGCTTGCCTAAAAAAAATTCTAAGCTTTTAAATATAAATCATGTTTTTAAAGATTATTGTAACTATACATGAAGTCAAAATAGATCATTTCAGATATCTGAAATGGTCGAAATGATTGAAATCATTTTGATTATTAGAGGTAAAAGTCAAAATGGTCAAAATGATATCATATTACATAATTTTTATTAATAGAAAAAACAAAAAAACAAAAGACGTACAATCTCAGTCAATATCACTTTGATTCATATGAAACAATTACCATTCGATTCCTTGATTCCCCCAGAACTCTTTTTTGAAATTTTCAGACCATTTTTTCAAAAATACTAAAAAACTTTAAAAAATAATTTTTTCATTATACAAACTAAACACAAATAATATTAAAATACTTTTATAAATTCTAAAACGATGATCTCTAATACTTTAAAATTTTATAGTAACATTTTCGCTAAAGATACAAAAACTTTCTTACAACTTATCACTAACATTACTCCACACCTTACTAAAAGAGACATAACAATAGTAAAATTTTTAGGTTTTCAAACTCCAGAAATCTTTTGACTTGTCAGAAAACTCAACTTCAAATACAATAAACTTTTTCAGAAAAAATAGAACTTACAAAAAACTTTATTGAACAAATAGCACGTACTAGTACATTAACAATACATGAAACTGGTATAAACAACTTTGTTACAAAAGTCACTAAAAACATTATTAACAACACCTTAAACAATATTTTAGAGAACAATGATATCATTTCTATTGCCGATTCTACCTCTCCTTCTCCTAATATGGATATACTAGAAGAAAATGATATGGATTTTTTCTTTCACAACACACACAAAGAACTCCCTAACCTTTCCTCTGTCCTAATTCACAATACTATTAACTCTTCAACTGACGTTTTGATTACTTCTGATTCGTCTACATATCAAACACATAAACAATCACATAAATAAAATAAAAATACGTCAAATAATAATTTTTCACATGATAATAAACACCTGCCTCTAATTTACCAAATACTAACACAGACGTATCAATGTATAATATCAACAACATTATGCATCAAAACGTTCTAGATAAGGATGATCTACATCACACAATTAATTACACTTTTCACACTTCTTCCAATAATAATAATGGTCATGTGATCGCAACGGTTTTTGCCAATATTCTTTCTGATGATAATAAATTTGATCAATTAAGTTTGATTAATACTTGCTTTTCAAATAAGCCTGGATTTATTAACCTTGATTGGAAATTTTACAATGGCAATGCCAACATTTTCATTGAATTCAATAATAGAAAACTTCTTCTTTCTGCAATTGACGACGTTTTATTAATACATCCCAACATACCATTTAAAAACGGTTTCCACTACAATTTCTCACCAACATATAAAGTGAGCCTTATCTTATTATGGACCTATAGAAACATTAGAAGATAAATTTAGAAATCATTATGATTCTTCTTGTAATGTAATTATCACTTTTAAAAGACTTACCAAATCCTATCAATTAAACCTAGCTTGGGCCTATAATATTAACGGTCTAGTCATGAGATGTGTATACATTGATATTTCTATAATTTTATTGCAGGTTTCAAAGGTTTCTCAAACAGAACTATACCTGCAGAAGCTTTCAGATCAATGAGATCCCATGAAGCTTGCTCTTGTTACTTTCATAATAATATTGCTTACTTTGCATTCTCAAATGAATCTGATATACATCAAGCTTATTTAACTTGAATTCTACACAATAGACACAAATTAGATAGCTGACCTAGAATCCTTAATAGACCATACAACCCTATCCAACAAAACATCCCAGGTCATTCTTTCAATTTAAATAAGAAAAACATCAGATGCAATTTGATCTTTTACAAATCAGGTGGTAACATGCATGATGATCAATACTCTTTATCTTCACATTCTGCTCCTAATAGTTCTGATGATATCACCTCAAAAAGAAAAAATAAAGATTTGTCTTATCTGCCTACTCTAAACAACAATAGTGATCTGTTGACTACTATACTTAATAAATTATAAGAATTAGATTCTATCAAAACCCACCTAGTCAAACTTGATGCTCAATTCTTAAATTTTTCCAATCATTATAGGGTCATTACCCAATGCTTATAATAGTCATATCAGATGAATCACAGATAAAGGATTTTCATACTAATAAACTAAATATTCATAATAATAATATTAAAGATGGGAACTGTAATTAATATGTTGCAACTTTTAATGTTGCAACTTACGTTGCAATTAGTTTTAACCTATATATGTTGCAACTAATTTTAGCTTATGTTGCAACATTTTGTAAATTTGAAATCAATTGCTGTACCATCTTTAAATAATATGGATATTGACTCTTTTTTTAATAATCAAATTTTAACATTTCACACACAAAGAAACCAAATGATCAAGAAACTGAACATGGATATTGTACAAATCAATGATAATAATGCTAGCAAAATTATAGATAGAGATGTCATCAAATTCTCAACACACAATATTCTTAGTTTAGCTGAAAAAACTGATCTGATTAAATCCTCTCAAATTTTCGAACATTGTTGACTCAACAGATTGGATTTTATCAGCTTAACTGAAACCCACCACACCAGTTCCATCTTCTACAAACATAAAAATGATGAAGATTATACTTCTTATTGGAGCAAACCTAACCCATATGAACCTTATGCTGGAGTTGGACTCCTAATATCGAATAAATAGACTAAATATATCATTCGCTCTTTTACTTCTGCATCAAGATATATATATGTTAACCTTTTTATTAAAGAATATCTTAAACTGCATATCTTCAGCATATATATTCATGCAAATTATCAGAACAAGATATCAGCTCACAATAAGCGTATACTTCAAAAATAAATTCTCCAGTAAGTTGACGATAGTCTTAAGAATTACTTTCACATTATCATTATGGAAGATTTTAATACTGATATAGATTTATATCAACAAAAACTAACTAATAATAAACTGCTAAGATGGCACTTTTAACTAATCGAAGGTTTCTCCCACAGAAATCTTACTGATTTTTAGCAAATCAGCAATAATAACATTATACCCACCTTTTTTTCACTTAATAATAGTAATAATACTAATACACATTCCAGTTCTTCTCATCAACTAAATGGCTTTTTTGTTTTACCAAATTTTATGGTTGACTTCTTACATTGTGGTATTTCAAAACCACTTCTATATAAATCTGACCATAGAATAGTTACAGCCTTCTTCACAGATTTTAAACCTAAATAAGAAGTTAACGCTAGACAACTTAATAGCTAAAGAAGAAAGTTTGTATTTTTATCTATAGATAATCACAAATGGAACATTTTTTCAGAAAAACTGAATAAATTCATCGATAAAAAACAGTTAGATTACCTTAATCAACTAACTCCTTCATTGGCAAGTATGAACCTTCTATAGGAACAGCTCAGAAATGCTATCATGATCACTGCTACTAAAACTATTCCGGTCTGATAGATTTTTGCAGACCAAAATGAACCTAAACTGAAGGAATTAGTTATCTATTATGAACAAATAAGGAAGTTAAACAAGATCATCCTCAAATTTCATGCATCAAGGATTAAAACAAAAATATGGTCAATAGGATAAAAATGGATCAACAATTATTCCTCTGTTCACTCGATAGTGAAGGATACTAAACTTCCTATTGTAATACTTTCCAATATTCTTAATCCGTCCAATATTTAGCATACTAAATGCATTTTCCTTCAACTATATCACAACCTCAAAGCTTTAACTAGAATCAAAGAAGAATTTTTCACAAGATTGAAAATAAAATATTGAATTAATTAATGATATTTACAATATGAATTTGCATCAGGAAAAATGATTCAATCAGCTCTTGGCTACTCAAAAAAACTGTTGTCTTAGACCGTCTACTCATTAATAACGTCAATAATCACCAACTTCTCATCAATGACCCAATACTCATTAAGAAACATATTAATCATCATTTTCAAAATTTTGCTATTCCTTCTTCTCCTGTTGCATCTATCACAGGCCGGTGGATTAAGTAATTTACTCTAATTGAAAATATCGATAAAGTTTAGTATAGTAACATTATACAACCCCAACCTTAGAAGAATGGATGGCAGTTATTTCACATCTTCCTAACAATAAAGTTTCAGGACCTTCAGATATTCACAACGAAATGATTAAACACCTAAGTCCACTTGTTCAATCTCTCTTATGGAAACTTATCATAATGTGTTTTACTCTGAACGATATTCCTTCAGAGTGAAAATCTGCTCACATTTATCTGATTCTCAAGCCTATGAGTTGGGATTATGATATTACTAAAACTAGACCCATCACACTATTAGAATCACCTAAAAAAGCAATGGTCAAAATTATCACAAATCATTTATCTCGCATTATAACAAGTTCAACATATTCAAAGGTGACAATTTTGCTGGATTACCTGACAGTTTCACTGAAGACCCTATTAAGATTATGAATATGATCATCAAAGACTCTGTTGAACACAAAAAAGAAATTTGGATTCTCCTACAGGATCTTTCCAAGACCTATGACAGAATTAATCTCAATATTTTAAAATTGACTCTCAGAAGAATTAAAATACCGGAAAACTGTATTACTTGTATCTTAAATCTTTTCACCAATCGATATAATGCCTTTTTACTAAAGATAATCTCTCAGACTTTTATGACGTAAGAATCGGCATTGATCAAGGAGAAGTGATTTCACCCCTTTTGTGGTGTATATACTTTGACCCTTTATTATGTGAAATCGATTGTCATAAAAAAGGATACAATTTAAATCACACTTGGATCTCAGATTTGAATAATATGATCTCATCTTCTCTTTCTGTTAATATTTCATCTCTTGGATATATGGATGATGCGAACTGGATTACTAGCTCCAAAGAAGATCTCAAATATATTTTGGATATAGCTGATGAATATTATTCTTTCACAAGAGCTGCGATCAATAAGACCAAATCAAGATTACTTACTAATGCTCTTTTTTCTTCTGACCTCATTCAGTTAAAATTTGAATTATTCTATATCCTTATTATACCAGTATTAGATTCAGTTCATTTTCTCAGTGCTTGGATTAATATATTTAATTTGCTATCCTTTGTTAAAAACTAAACCAAAGATACCATCTCCTCTTTATTACCATCCTCAAATCAAAACCCACTCACAGATAAACAACTAATATATATTTTTAGTACTATTTTCATGCTCTCTTTGGAGTACCATTTATAAATAATATTGTTATCCTTTAATGAATGCAATACTTTCTTTACTCCCATTTGAAGGCTATTAAAAACTAATTCAAAATTCGCCAGCTCAGCTCCAGATTGTCTCTTTAAAGGAAATAACTTTTATAATTTACATAATCTAGGGAATCAACAGATGCAAACATTTTTAACAGCTCTTTTGTACCAATTTAACTCCAAAGCTATCTATAATGATATTTTTAGGATCAGATTATTTAGATTATAATCAAACAATAGACTACACATTTCACCTTTAGTTAAATGGAGTTTACTTTATAACAACAATCCTCTCATAATTTTATTGATGCAACACTTAGCCTTCTCAAACAAAATGGACTAAAAATTTCATTTCATATTCATAAAAACCTCAGAAATGAAATTAAAAGCAGATCAATCTCATTAGATTCTATCTTATCTCAAGCTACTTTGGTTAAACATCAATACATCATCAATAAGTTTTCTCTTTTATTTTTTGATCAATTTCTAGACAACGAAGGATTATCTTTAATTAATTGGAAGGAACTAGTAAATAGACCATACTACAAAAACAATTTTTTTAAAAAAAATAATGTCTCCAATTTCTATAAATTAGTTAGTAGTTTAGTTTTAGAATCTGATTCTTCTAAAAAATTTTAGATTAGCTCATACCAATAGTTTTTTTATTGATTCCTATAATTTCGGTTAGGGTTCTTCAAAATCAAATCAAATCAAATATTGAAGCAATTTGAATTTGATTTGATTTTTTCGAATCAAATCAAATCTCAAATCAAATCAAATTCAAATTTGATCAAATCAAATCAAATCAAATATAAAATTTTTTTTAATTATTATAATGATATATTAAAATAAAG